AAACATTATCATCTGAGGTTTGTCATTCCCAAAAGGTGGCCAAACCTTCAAAGTGTCCTAATTCAGCAATTGGGGACCCATATCTATACCATCTTCAAAATTCCATTATTTAAGTTTTGGCAAATGGTCAGCAAATACATTTACAACATAGTTTCCATATTGTATTGTTTTGTTTTGATTTATTCTTTTTTTTTTCCCAGCGAAACACAATATTGTTAGTATACAAGCCCCAATTGACCACCTAAACCTATCTGAATAATTCACTTTGATGAGTCTCACAATATTGTAGGCATTAAATGGACATCCAAATCGGTCCGAATATATTGAATCTACTTTGATGAGTCTGCTCTGAGTATAGTGATTTATTGCTCTCGATAACATGAAATCTCAGCTCTTGACCTTACTCTATGGTAACTTCACAACAGAATGTGAAATGTCAACCTTTTATGAAGACGTAGCGGACATAATACACTGTATTATGTATCTGATCAGCAGCAGATAAATACCAATGTTACGGCACATTCATTCAGTCCATCATAAACAGCAACACTTATTTGCCTATATTTATTTGCAGGCATGTCATAGCCTGGCTTTGTAAGTTTTTGTTTTTTTAAATGGAATTGAAAAAAATCAGTAAAAATAACGAAGTTATGATTCGTCTGTTGTTGTTATTGTTTTTTTTTTGTTTTTTTAAAACAAATTAAGTCCCCCAAAACTGGACGTGTTTAAGTGTCGTTGAATAACCAAAATGTGAGTCTTCGGCTCGTGAACGTGTTGTTTGATTCGTTTCGAAGAAGAAGAATATCCAATGTAAAATATTCCTTAAAACTGTCAGAGGTACGGTAGATCTATTCCAGGAAGGTGTCATTAAAATAACACAAGCACAGAGATCCAATATCATTATAAGTATTATTATTATTATGATGATTCGCTCACAAACACTTCAAAAGCAGATGTCCTTTGAATGTCTTGCTGGTTTCAAGTATTCGAAGAACTCCTCGGAAAGTGCACTAAACGCGCCCCACGCCTCAAGCACTACGAGACACAATGGTAGATAGATAGAGCAGTGGACACAGAATGGTCAAGTACTCTCACAAACCTCTCCTCTACACTGTTGTTAGTCGTGTGTTGCAGGACTAATCTGATTATAGTCGGTTCGTGCACGTTGAGGTTCGTTAGTCAGGATTAACTTAACAATCCTTGAGGTAGTAGGCTCAACTTACGACAAAAGGTTGCGGAGTGCTGGTTGAGAGGAATGATTGAGAACATGATAATCCCTTACGGTTATCTTTGTTGCTTGCCAGTAGACCTGGTGAAGGGGTACTAATTAAGATGTATAGTGGATGGATAGACAAGAAGAAGAAGAAGAAGAAGAAGAAGAAGAAGAAGAAGAAGAAGAAGAAGAA